TAATAGAAAAGTTTCAAGAGGAGATTGACATGATCAAATTTTATATTTTTACAATAGCTTTTGTATGAAAAATAGAGATAATAACAATTTTTGGCAGACCAACTGGGAGGCAGTATCCAGGTGAGAGATAGTGGAGTAGGATGATAGAGGTAGAGATGAAATAAAAATTTACAAAACTCTTTCTGAGAGGTAGAATAAAGAGAATGTTGAGAGGTCTTAAAGAGGGTCCCAGACGTCTTGCATGAGCATTTAGATAAATATGGTCGTTCTAGTCTGACCCAGGGAAATATATACCGCCAGATATAAATTGATGGAAATGTAAGGAAAAGGTAATTCTTTTTTGGGTGGGTTAGGTTTGAAAACCTATGCGTCAACTAAGTATGAATGTCTCACAAGCTCCACTTCATCATTTCCCACTGAACATGTCCATTAAAGCTTCAAATTCAAGATGCTGGCAATCGAAATCTGTACCTTCTTATACATTTGCTCCATTTGCTAGTTAATTAATGCCGCCAATTGTGAGGGATGTTATAGATGGGGATCCTACATGTGATAGAAAAAAACTGGAATATAAAATACCTTAAGACACTGATAAGAGTCTATAACTCACAGATTCATCCTTAACACTGGAGTTATTCTTGCCACAAAGGTTAACCTTAAGTAAGAGTTAACTCATAACTCTGCAAAAGTTTAAAACCATTTGAAAACAAATATATAAATATTAAGGATACTTTTATCCACAGCTTCTTTTGCTAGGAATACTACAAGAGTAAAGACAGATTTTGGAATGGATCCAAGAAAATAAATTCAAGAGTTAAATGTTAAGTCTTAATTAACTGTCCTGTTCTCTTGAAGTAAAAACTTAAAGCAATTATTTTCCAGCTGATAAGAAGCAGCACATTCTTTATTCATATATCCTATTACAGTACAATATCAGAGTAACTGAGAATGATAAAAGTATAATCCAGACCTTTGGAACTACACAAAGTTGAAAAATCAGTTCCATTTTAGAGAATCCACCAAGATGGGTAATTTGCATTAAAAATGAGAAAACATAGAAAGAATTAAGAATTAAAAAAAAAAAAAAAACAAGAGCTGAGATTTTAAAGAAGTTTAGTATTTGGGGAAACAATTGAGATAAACCTTTTACTTATTCTAAATCCTATTAATTTTAAAACTCAAAGATCAGCAAGTCCTAAGACAAAAACATCAACATCCCTTCAACTAGGAGATGGCTCTTTGAATTTATATTTTATAGAAAGGTAAATGTGATAATATGCACTTAAATTATACAGTTCTTTTAAATCTCACATTTCATGTGAGTGACAGAAACACTGAAGTATATGGATAGTTCCTTAAAACATGAAAGAGAATAACATTTGATCCGGTAATTTCACTTCCGAGTATATATCCAAATATTCAAACTGTTATCTGAGTACCAATGTACACAGCAGCACAGACATTTGGGGAAACACCCCAAATGTCTACCAACTAATAAATGAATAAACAAATTTTGATATATGCATACAATGGAATACTATCTGGCCTTAAAAAGGAAGGAAATTCTGCAATATGCTATAATATGACTAATCCTTAAAGACATTACGCTAAGTGAAATAAATCTGACACAAAAGGACAAATATTGTATGCTTCTACTTGTACGAGAAACCTAGAATAGTTAAACTCATAGAGACAGAAAGTAGAATGGTGGTTGTCAGGGTTTGGGGGAGGAGTATTATTTAATAGGTACTGAGTTTTAATTTCTGAGGATAAAAGTTCTGGAGAGAATAGTGGGGAGAGGTGCACAACAATGTGAATGTACTTAATGTCACTGAATTGTACAGTTAAAAATGAATAAAATGTTACTTCATGTTATGTAAATTTTAACACAATTTAAACAAGACACAAAGAGTCCTCCTAGCAATAATAAAACCTGGAACATTGTATGTAAAATAAAGAGATTCAACTTTTTCTACAGAACTATAACATAGCTTTCCTTGGTTTCTCAAAATGTTGAGATCTTAAAAATTTTTGAATTACCACTACCTTTAAATCCCTGAAATGAGCAAAACAAATAACAAAATAATGTTAACAGAATTTTATAAAACTACTATTCCCAGCATGCCTCAATTAATATAGAACCAGCATAGTTACATGCAAGCTCTACACACATTACATCTTCAAATAAACTTCTGCTAACGTGAAATAAGTACCACTTGTCCAAGATGGCTCTCACAAATCTAATGCAGTATATTAAACATGAACAAAAGAATAAGGGAATAACTCCCAGGAGTCTGTTTGAAATAGAAAATTAAATGAATCAACAAAGCTGAAGCAGATTATAGCATATTTTTCTAGGCAGGGATATAAGGAGGCAGTATATAAACACTATAAAGTTAAATATGGTACCAGGAACTCAAATGTCACACTAACCGGAAACCTACTATGTCAGTTTCTATAACTCATAATTTAATAGCGGTATCCCAATACTACCACCCTGAAACCTTTCAAATAAACAAGACAGTGCTGACTACACAAAAAAGGTAAAACATCATTATAGTCAAAGATTTAAAACAAATTCAATAGGCTAATAGACTGAAGACATCTGCCACATAGCTAAGTCAATGGGTTACTATCTCTACCAAAGAACTCTTACACATCAATAAGGAAAAAACAAGAGTCAATAGGGAATGGACAAATTATGTAACTGTTTCACCCTGCTTTATTTTTCAAATCTCAAAATGCTGCTCGCACAATCTTCACAGCATCTTTTCCTGGGCCTGATCTAATTATATGAGTTGTAGAAATTGACATAGTAGTTTCCTGGTTAATGTGACATTTGAGTTCCTGGTACTATACTTAACTTTATATTGTTTATATAGTGCCATATATAACAGTTGTTCAACTTACTCTCTGATTTACCCCCACAAACCTGTAATATGGTCTCCAGGGAGAATATAACCTTATTTGCTTTTCATCGAAAGGAACTATAGCATAATCTACAATGCTTTCATATATCTGATAAGAGACTTGTATCTAGAATATACAAAGAACTCTTACAACTCGATGAAAAGACAACCTGATTTAAAAAAGGACAAAAAGTATGAATAGAGATTTCTCCAAAGAAGATATACAAAGGCCTATAAGCACATGAAAAGATGCTCAGCATCACTAGCCACCAGAGAAATGCAAATTAAAACCACAATGAGACACATTTCACACCCACTACGATGGCAAGAGTAAAAAAAAGACAGATAATGACAAGTGTTGGTGAGGATGTGGAGAAATCAGAACCTTCATAAACTGACGATGGGAATGTAAAATGGTGCACCTGCTTTAGAAAACAGTCTGGCAATTCCTCAAAAGTGTTAAATGTAGAGTTACCATATGACCCAGCAATTCTACTCCTCGGTATATACCCAAGAGAAATGGAAACATGTTGTTCACACCAAAACATGTACATGAACATTCATAGCAGCGTTATTTATAATATCCAAACAACCCAAATGGCCATCAACTGACTAATGGATAAATGGTGGTATATCCATACAATGAAATATCATCTAGCAGTAAAAAGGAATGAAGTACTAATACATGCTACAACATGGATGATATGTTAAGTGAAAAAAGACAATCAAAAAAGACCACATACTGCATGATTTCATTTATATAAATTGTTCAGAATAGGCAAATCCATAGACAGATTAGTAGTTGCATAGGGCTAGGAAAGGAATGGAGTAGGAAAGGAAATAAGAATAGACTGTTAATCGGTTCAGGGTTTCTTTTTGGGGTGATGACAATGTTTTTAAATTAATTATGATGTAAACTGATCAAGATCAAAAACATACATATATACAGTGCCACATTAAAATGCACCTAGAACTACGTTTCATGTCTTACATCTCAAATCTTGCGATGTTAAAACAAGGCAAAATAACCTTTGGAATGGGCAGAAAGCAACATTGTGCCCCTATAAGAACTGTTTGCAAAGATAACATGGAAGCAGATACTCTGACAACTGAACTGAAAATAAAAAATAAAAAGTAAAATACATTTAAAATGCATTTTAAATGGGTTAATTCTATGGTATGTAAACTATATCTCAAATAGACTGTTATCTTTTTTTAAGGACTTTTAAACGGACTTTTAAAAAGAACTGTATTCCGCTCTCCCCCATTATATCCCCAGCTCCTAAAACAGTGCTTGGCAATACTCAACAAATTCTAACTAAATGAAAAAATAAATTTCAAAACAAAGGTAAACTATTATAAAACTCTGTCATATCCAAAGTCATGACATTCCTGCAGGTTGGCAAGGATACCGTGTGTATAAGTGTGTTTTCCAAGAAAGGACACAAGACTGAGGATTCGGAACCAAGACCTTGGAGGGTCTTAAAGCCAGCTAAGGAATTTGTATTATCCTGAATCAACAGGAAGGCCAGTAAGATTTTGAGCAGAAGAACACAGAATGTGTTTTAAATGTGCAAAGTTTAAGTAGAGAGTTGCTACTTCTATTCAAAGGTGAAGTAGACCAACAGAATATCCTAAAGGAGAGTGATACCCCTCAGGTGAGAATAGAGGGGAGTTAGGGGAAGATACGACGAGAAGCATGTATCAAAATATAAGAATCTTCGTAGATTTTTTAAATAACAGCCAGAACACCGCACGCACGCACACACTGAAAAGACCTCTATAGTCAGCCCCTGCATGGAGCTCAAGTGTGATCGGGACAAAAATTATTACGACCACTGAGCCAGAAATTCTACAACCATCTGGGCAGGAACTTTCTCACAGTGTAGAAACTTCGGACCATCAACAAAGTGCACGGTTCCACCTCTTCTCAAGGAGCCCCAATGCTCACAAATGCGCTCTTGGGAATGCTTAGCAAGGACTGCAGGGCAAGGCAATGGTTAGCTACAGGCAGCCTCATAACTACTGGGTGAGGGGGCATCTGGTTGCATTCCAAGACAAGGAGCCCACCGCAGGCTCCCAAACACCAACCTCGTCGCGGAACAACGGTGCGACTCGGCGACGGCGCGAGTCGCCCGGAGATGACTCCAGAGAAACCTCCTCTTGCTGCAGCCCACTTGGCCAGCAAACGCTGGCACCCGGAGGGCTGGAACAAACCCTTCTAGAAGTAGAAGAGACCGGGACTCGTTATCCTGGCATAAATCCTATCCATGAGGGATAACAGGACCATGCGTTTGAAAGCAAGAGGGTTCCTGGCGGATGTGGGAGGGGCCGGAAAAGCGCGCGGGCGGGCTCGCCCCGCAGGGAGCAGTCGAGGCTTCCGGCGTCTCCTCTTGGCGAGGCTAGAGGGCCACACGGCGACTGACAGAGACCTTGCTGTTGATCCCGGATAGGATCGCTTGAGCGGCCAAACTTCACCTTCTTAGACACTGAGATTAGCGTCAGGAAGGGGTTTGCCTTCTCAAATTTCCGTTTTTTGTTTTCTGGATCCTGGTGTCCTGCAACATCCAGTCAGTCCAGCAGCGCTTGACGAGGACATGTAAACCACTAGTTTTATGTTGCACCTCTGAGGGATCTCAAGCTCGGCTGATCCTCAAGGACGCGAAACTGCTGGCTCTATGACCCAGACAGACGCTGACGTCCATTTTGCTTCTTTCCGTTGAGAAATTTATCAACACTAAATTCTTTTTTATTCGCCAAATATTTTTTAAATGCCTACTGTGCTTCAGGGAATGCAGAGGTAAGAAAAAACTAATGATCTCTGTTCTCATGGACTTTTTAATAAAATGAGTAATAATAGTATTTACCTCATAGATTTGTTATGAAGTTGTAAAGCTATCTGGGAAAATTCTAAATAGTTTGAAATTAAATGATACATTTCTAAATTACCCATGGATTAAAGGAAAAGTCACAAAGGAAATTGAAAGACATTTTGAACTGAATAAAAAATGTGTATCAAAAGATGTGGAACACACTTAAAGCAATGCTTGGAGGAAAAATTTATAGCTTTATATTAGAAAAGAAGGAAAATTTAAATTAAATTATTTAAGCTTCCACTTTAAGAATTTGTGGGGGGTGGGGACAAAAGTAGAAAATGAAATAAAGATGATTTTGGAAGTAAATGGAATAGAAAAGTTTTTTAATAAGATCAATAAAATTGGTAAACCTCTAGCTAAACTGATCAATCAAGGTTGGGGGTGGAGGACGTGGCACAAATTACCAATATCAGAAATGAGAAGAGAAATCAGTACAGATCCTACAGACAGTAGAAAAAATAAGGAGTTCTGTTTCCAATAATAACAGAAGACTTCCTACTAGACCAGCCCTCTCACAGGTGAAAACTAAAAACTGCACTGAATAGAAAAAATAACGACCTGGAGATTTGGGAGTACACCAAAAGAAGATATATACTAGAAATGAGTGAATGCTTATAGGAAAGAAATGGGATTCAGTGAATTATCCGTTTTTATGTTGTTTTTGTTTGTTTGTTTGTTTGTTTTGATTAAGGTCAGGCTCCAGTTGATATCCTTGTTTGTAGTGGCTTGAAAACCTAGAAAATTAAAATAATAATAATAATAAATTTTTAAAAAGTAAGAAAGAAAAAGAAAGAAAAATCAGAAAATAGCTTTTGGGACAACCAGAGGTGCTGGAATGAAAGAGGAGTTAATCACTACAGATCCTACATACATTAAAAATGACCTTTTCAAAATATCCTGAGGTGAGGCAAGAGGTTATTGGATATGGACCACTCTAGGAAAGCAACACAGCCATGGGTGAGACAGAGTTCTTTAACTGAGACTATTGCTAAAGGGAGCCATTAGTAAGTGGGGTAATGAGTTTTTTATTCTAGATTGTGTGCCCCAGCAACCACCATTTACTTATGAGGGGGAGAGAAAAATATTACTGATAAGTCAGATTAAATTTAAGATGTGTAAAGTTGCTCAACAGAAGGACAATGAAAAATTAATTAGTTAAAGCTGCTAGGAAGATGTCTTAAAATGACAGGTAGATTTAGACAAAGGAAGGGAAGAACATTTCTGTCTGAGGAAATACTGTGAGACAAAGCACAGAGTTAAGAAAGGAGCAGCTGATTTATAAAATTATATAAACTGTGGCTATACAATTAAGTGTGCCGTCATTTTTTTATTCCTTTTTTCCCTGTTTTTTCCTATCTTTATTGAAATATAATAGACAACTAATTGCCTGCATTTACATTGTACAATTCAATGAGGTATTTTTTTCGATTATAGTTAGCATACGACACACCAGCCTCAGCTGTACAGTATATAGTTCAGAGATCCACCCAACTTGCAAAGCGATCACCCCACCAAATCCAGCACTCCTCCTCCCCCCAACATATTCATTTCAACATTATTAACCATTTTTCCCATGCTATACTCTACATCCCCATGTCTACTCTACAACCATCCACCTGCACCTCTCAATCCCTTTGCCCTATTTCCCCCCCTAAACCCCGCTCCCATCTAGTATCCCTCAAAATATTCTTTGTACCTATGAGTTTATTTCCACTTTTGTATGTGAAATCATGCGATATTTGTCTTTCTCTATCCAACCCATTTCATTCAACGCAATACCCTTCAGATCCATCAAGGCAATATCTTTTTCCATCCCCTTTTAGTCTGTATGTGTCTTTTAATCTGAAGTGAGTCTCTTGTAGGCAGCATATGTAGGGATCTTGTTTTCTTATCCATTCAGCCACTCTGTCTTTTGTTTGGAGCACTTAATTCTTTTCCATTTGAGGTACTTGTTGATAGGAATGTAGTTTACCATTCATTTTCATGTTTTTGATACATGTTTTTTCTTCTTAAATCTCTCCAACATTTCCTATATTACTGGCTTGGTGCTGATAAATTCCTTTAGTTTATTTTTGTCTGGGAAGCTCTTTATCTGCCCTTTGACTCTAAATGATAGCTGTGCTGGATAAAGGACTCTTGGTTGTAGACCCTGGCTTTTCATCACATGGAATATTTTGTGCCAAGCTCATCTTTTGAGAAATCAGTCTGCCAGTCTTATGGGTGTGTCTTTATAGGTAACTAACTGCTTTTTCTCTTGCTGCTTTTAAGATTCTCTCTTTGTACTTAATCTTTGGCATTTTAATTTTAATGTGTCTTGGTGTGGGACTATTTGGGTTCATCTTTTCTGGGACTCTGAGCTTCCTGAGGTTATATGTTTATTTTCTTCACCAGATTAGGGAAGTTTTCCATCATTACTTCTTCAAATAGCTCTTCAACTTCTTGTTTTTCTTCAGGTACCCCTATGACACAGATTTTTTTACATTTAATTGTGTCCCATAGGCTCCTTAAATTATTATTATAGTCTTGGCATCTGTTTTGCTATTCCAATTGAGTGTCCTTGGTTTCCCCATCCTCTATAGTAGTGGTTCATTTATCTTATTTATCCAAGCTATTGATTCCCTCTAATATACTCTTCATCTCAGATAATGTGTTCTTCATTTCTGACTGGTTCTCTTTTATAATCTCCATTTCCATTTTTATATTTTTTTTATCTCTTTGTTAAAGTTCTCACTGAATTCATCTACACTTCTCCTAAGTTTATTCAGCATCCTTATAACCAGTATTTTGAACTCTGCATCCATTAGATTGCTTGACATTGTTTCTGGATCTCTTCTGTTCTTCATATGGTTTCTGCTTCTTTGTCTTCCCGTTTTGGCTGCCTTTCTGTGTCTGTGTCTGTGTATTAAGCAAAGCTTCTAAGTCTCCCGGTTTTATTAATACAGTTTGTGTAGTAAATGTCCAGTGGCACAATCCTGAGAGGGGTTCAGCTGCAGGTCAGATTTAGCCCCAGCCTGTTCCCCTCTGGGGCCACCTTTTAAGATTCAGCAAGCAATCCACAGGTGCTGTGCTTATAGTTGCCTCAAAAGGCCACACCAGAAACCAAGTCCAGCTGTCACCAGTGTGAGTCTTGGCGCTGCTCAGCAAGGAGCCCCCGACTCCTGGAGGATACACCCTGGATGTAACTTGGCTGGGGCTGCGAGTTGGGGGAGGCAGAGTTTCAGGGAATCCTCTGGGCTGAGCGATCTCTGTTATCCAGTTTGATGACATCACTGCTATGGCAGCGTTGAGTCTGCACACTGGGTAGGGGGAGGGCTCAACAGGAACAATGGATACTGCTGGCACTTCGGCCAGGGAGAGAGCCTCGCCACGACCCTCACTCCAACAACTCAGTGTCACCCTGTAAGTTCCTGCGCAGCTGAACTGGCACTGGTGCTCATCGCGAGCAGGTCCATCACCACAGAAGTCCACTCACGGCCGCAGCCCCTTTAAGAGGCGTCTGCAGCAGCCTCTGTCTCACTCAGTCGTTTGGGACAGGGCAGCCTCGTATTCTCACCCTGTCCTACCTTCTGCCATTTCAGGATGATTGCTTAGATTTCTCCCTAGTTGTATGGCTTGTTCATCTAGATCCCAAGCGATTTTTCCTTGCTGTTTTACTCCTTGTTTCCGTCACAACTTTGATTTGATTGCCAGAGGGATGAACAGAGCCTCCATCATCGACGCCATTTCCCCTGCTCCCCTCTGAAGTATGCTGTTATTTAAAATCTTTATTTTGAAATAAGTATAGATTCATGGGAAGTTTGGGGGGGAAAAAAAGTAAACGAAGGGTCTATGTACCTTCACCCCGTTTTCTCCAATGGTAACATTCTTTCGTAACTATGTTATAATATCAAAGCCAGGAAATTGACATTGGTATAATCTACGGAGTTTATTCAGATAACAGTTTTTCATATACTCTGTGTGTGTGTGTGTGTGTGTGTGTGTGTGTAGTCACTCAAGATACAGAACAGATGTATCACAAGGATTCCAAGTGCTATCCTTTCATAGCCACAATTTCTAATTCCCTGTCTCTCACTCTTTCTATAACATCTAGCAATCACTAATCTGTTCTCCATTTCTAGAATTTTGTGGCAAGCGTGCTGTCTTTTCAGTTAACATATAGCTTTAATTACACCCAATGTGAGAAATTTCGTAGCATATTCACCTTGAATTTTTAAAACTTCTCATAATTCTTTTCATTTAGTGTTCAAATTTATCAAGACAATTTATACCAAGGTTATTGCAAACTAACTATCTTTAAAATTTTATTCTCCAATTATTCTTACTCTGGAAGATGATTTTATCAAATACTTTACAAACCAACTGCGACCATCAAGTATGAGTGGTTTTTATCTTTGCTTTAAAAACTTAATTGATTCTTTCTTCCACTCTTAAAGCACAGGTATTCTT